ATTAGCCCGAAATTCTTGTAGTTATGGCTCTTAGCAAGCCGAAGTGTGACAGTAGGCTCATCAGACCCTACATTTCACTTGCAAAAGCATAGCATGTCCCCTCGAACACAGCGAAGATTAAGGTGGAAAGTCATCAGAAAACTTGCCTCTCCGTTATTGTGAGCAAGCCTAATGATTACTACCATTCACTCTGGGTTATGGGAGCTTGTACCAAAAAAACAACTTAACTTTACGAGCAGTAGGCTTGAAACCGACTTCCCAACAGCACTGTCAGTAACAAGTTAAGGATAATAAGTATGCTCACTTCCTTAAGGGAAATGGCGCCATCCCTATCTCGCATCAAAACTCATGGAGCAAGAAAAAGCTTGACAGATCAGTCAGCCAACATGGGGTATGTGTTGGGAATTCCCACAAACGATAATTACTTAGCATGTCTCGTTTATACGTTACAAGTCAAATGTACAAACTAAATTATATCAATCAAATACTGCCACTCGCATAGTTATTTAATCTTTGGAGTAACTGCCGAAATTGGTTTAGTTGTTGGTTAATCTTATTCCGCGGATAGTTTGCAACGGCTCACAACGATAGAATGAGACTCACTTGAGAAGTCTGCCCTCTTATAGCAAAGTCCATGGGTTTGCCATGCATAGTAGTCAACTCCTGAAAGGTCATTTGACCTCCAATCATAGAAGACGACCGAGCAGAAGAATCTTCCGACGTGCCTTTGGGACACTTCCCCCTCTTGGACACATGAGATAAACCTCCATCACTGTCAGCATCCCTTCTTTCTCGCCTACCACCACCACTAGTTGGGACGTAGCCTTCCTGACCGTCCATAATCGCCCCATAACCCCTACCAACAGAGGGCATCGCTGTCCGCAGTAGGTCTCCCGATGCAGCCTTTATAGATCCTCCGTTGGGCTGATAGCTAGGGCGTTTGGCCTCAGCAACGTTACTGCCACTGCTATTGCTGCTACCACTACCATTGTCAGTGGAATAGCTCATCTCTTCCACGAAGCATCGATGTTGTCCCATGGATATGGCAGCGGCAGCAGTAGCAGCGGTGGTTGGGGAATAGTCCATAGAACTAAACATCTTGGCCTGGAACTGTTGGTGGGCAGAAGAGTTGGTGAAAACGCCGGTTTCACCAACGTTGGTGGAGAAATCCATGCGTGTGATAGTGACAACAATGCGTGTGTGTGCGTGTGCGCGTTTGGTATGTTCTTGCGTGCGTACATGGAAGACAGAGCAGGCACGCAGTATCGGCAACGTGCACACATGAATGCATTTATGCGTGCAGTGTGCGTGTGCACTCCTATTGCAGCCAATCAACGAGGCGACTGAAGTGAGGTGGTGCGTACGTGTGTTTACAGCATTAAAGATGGGTGTGCATGCGTGCGAGCGTGTTTGTGGTGCGTCCGTTACAGTGAATACGTTTGTTTGATGTTTCTGCCTTGAAACGTCTCCATCATCCACTATCAAGTTTTTAACGCAAAGGCCTTTATAAAGGTGTTTATAAAGTGAAAGGACTGGAATTGGTTTTTAAACCCATTCCTTATTACACTATGGTGACAATTAACACCTCAATTGAAAGATAGCATATAGCATAAGCCATTCTAATGCATTTCCGACTGATTTAATACGTAACAAAAGTGGTAAGGGGGATCAGCACTATGGTATTAAATTTGGAACTTATGTCGATATACCATTTTGTATGCTCTGCTACTTTCCTGCCAATTCCAAATCTTGCATCATTGTAGTAGTTGGAACTGTGGATGCAGGAACTTATTGTACAACGTTTAATGAGATTTTAAAATGTGATGTGTTGTAGAAACTTGCTCTAGATGATGCATCAGTGAAGACCTGATGATGCCTATAAGGAAACTTGGACTCCACTCATTAAGAGATGTTAATAAGACTAAGATTCTCGATTTGGTTCCACCCTTCTGCTATAGGGGAACCAACATTTTGATAAATATTTCTTCACGGGTTATTGATGAGCAGCGGATTTTGTGTTGTATTGTGGTAGTGGTTAAGCAAACTAATGTACCCATGGTTATCTCCACACGTACTGCCAATCTTTCACCAAGTACATCAAAGACATTTTAAGCCATTCCGATCACAAACAAAATGTCCACTTGCTTGGGAGAATTAGTTATGACCGTGACTAACCTGCTCAAGTAAGCGTAAAATGTCGGGGTCTCCTTTGTAGCCTTCGATGCCCCTATGCGGCCCACTTGAGTAAAATTGAAGATCTGCATATTTCACCTATTCTCCTCGTGAACCTTGCTACTGTCTTACTAGCAATGACTTTGGAAAGATTTTGAGAAAGAGAGAGGAACAATCAGGACTTGCCCGCTGGCATTCTAGAGGCAAAAGTTGAATAAAAGTGTAGGCACAAGCTTTAGTTTCGTCGGGAAGGAATTAGGTTAGATTATCTGGGATTATAGGTTGAAATGATGACTATTTGAACTACTGGAGCATTATAATTAGATCAGCACTGCTCTTTTAATATAATTGCGTAAAAATACGATAAGTTATTTATTTGCCTTATGCTGGCTCAAACAGTTAAATTTCTCATGAAAGGAAGGTTTATTTTCCCACTACCTTCCATTCTTTTCCCAACTATTTGCAGTTTTGGCGGTCAGAATGTAATACCAATGCGCACCTAGGGAGTTATATTATCAGCATAAATGTAAAAAACAATTCTCTAAATTTTACATAAAAACATTACGGTTGTCGACTAGACTGTGCCCTTTGTCAACTTTGTCTCGAAGTGGAAGAACCACCATCATTCCCTTTCATACAGTACCTTTTGACGGTATGCATTTTTAAACAATTCTTTCTGTACTGTT